ACACACACACACACACACACACACACACACACACACACACACACACAGCTCAGCCACAAGCCACATTCTTACCTGGGCCACTGCACTCCCCAACTCTGGGAACCTCATTCCCAGAGGTCTGTAAGCCTGGAAGGAAAATAAAGAAGAGTCAGAACTGAGGTGGTGGTATACCGAGTCCAGTGAAAAGGGAAGGGGGTATGGCCAGCAGAGGGCAGGGGACCCACAGCAGCTCCCACAGGACCTGCTGGCTCAACCCCCGACAGTGACCTAGAGGAGACCCTGCAGGCAAGGCCAAGGGGTGTCCGGGGTCAACAGTGTCCTGGGTGAGGGCCAGGGATACAAACCAATGAGGCCCTCAGCCCATGTGCCTTCCTTCCAGCCTTTTCAGTCAGTCCCCAGCCTCTCCCGCTTCTCACCTCCCTCGGAGCCCAGAGCAGGACACCTCTCCCAGAAACAATATTAAAGGCCAGCACTGAGCTGGCCATGAGCACACAGGGCATGTGACCACCAGAGAGCTCAGGATCAGGGTACTCATTAAGCACAGGGACAAGTGAGGAAACAGACACAGAAGTCATCAAGTTGCCTGGGCCACCAAGTGGGGTTTGACTTCCGGGCTTCCTCCTCGCAACCCCGCAAGAGGACACAGGAGCCTGAGGCCACCGGAGTCCGTGGCTGCTGGTGCTTACTACCCACATCAGCCACATCCACACTAGCAGTCTTCAGAGTTGGACATGGGCTGTGAGGACTGTGGCTGGGCCTCTCCCTGAGCACTAGGCTTGGGCAGGGAAGGAATGGCCAGACGCCCCGCTCTGCACTGGGCCCGAGACATCCCACCAGGTACCTACGATGTGCACTGGGCATGCTCACAGAGCTGTAGGCACTCTACAGACTCAGGCATTAAGTAACAGGAAGATCACCAGGCCCCTTCCTCTGGAGGCCACAGAGCATAGGGCTATAACCAAGCTGCCAAACCAGGTCTTAGGCTGGAGTGACTCCTCCGTGCCTCAGTCTTCTCTGTGAACATGGTACCACCACCTCCTCAGGCTGTGGTGACAGAGACGAGGCTAAATGGTGGCCATGACTGTTAACACACTGCTAACACACATGTTGTTAACACACAATGAAGTCCCAGGTCAAGTGTTCCCTGGCCTGGACATCAGCCTCTGCAGCCCAGCAAGCTTGGGTCTGAGAAATTAGCTGTCTTCTTCCTTGCTGCTGCCCCAGGAATCCCCAGGTGGTGAGAGAGGCTTCATGCAGCCTGGCCCTGCTCCTAAGTAGATGTGTGATCCTCGCCAGTATCTGGATCTCACAGTCACTCCTGACTCTTGTAGGCAGGCTCTGTCTCCACAACTTCCCCTCCATGCTATGCCCACCTTGCTCATGGGGATGGCTGGGTAAGGTCTTTGACACCAACAGCCTAAGGCCTGGCCTAGGATGCTGGGAGGATGTGGGGCCTGGCCTCCTGAGGTCAGGTCAGGCCCTAAGATAAAGCATGTGAACTATGGGGAGGCCAAAGCCAGAAGCCTTCGGTCTAATGACTCTAATGACCGTTCTAGTCAGCTTCCTATGTGGTCATCCCTAGGCCTGACCCAGGAAACCAGACAGAGACACAAAATGTGTGTGTGTGTCACCTTCTGCCTCCTCAGCCAGCTCTTCCTCATTGGCACTTGCGCCTGAAGCCTCCATCTCCTCGTCCTCAGCGGCAGGTGGGAAGGCTGTCTCCTCACTTGCTGCTGCTGGGGTCTTCTTTTTCTTTCTCCGTGCATTCCTCTCCTTCTCCTGGGAGAGGACAGTAGTGGTCAAGGCTGAGGACAGCCCATACTGGAAGCCCAGTCACAGCTGTGAGGGCAGGGAGCCTGGCTGCATGGCTACGCAGGCGTTCTCGCCACTCAGCTCATCCGGGTGGCCGCAGAGGCCAGGGCTATTTTTACCATTAAGGTTTCATAGGGCCCTAGGTACAGGCTGGGCCAGGCCAGCATGGGAAACCCATAGTGTCACAGTGCACACTGGAGGGACCATGGATATAACTCAGCAAGCACAGCACAGCCAATGCCCACCAAAGCCAGCAACACATATTCTAAAGTTGGGACTCAGGGGGCTTGCTTGGGGCCACAGGGGAATATAGAGAGTCCAGGGCCAAGTAAGCTAGATGGGTGATCAGGATTCTATAGGACAGTGACACTGGAGTCTGGTCCTGAGTACAGAGGAAGCATCCAGGCTCTGGGTGAGACAGGCCTATGTGCAAAGGCCCTGGGGTGTGGATGAGTCATACTGCAGCCTTGCCTTCCCCCAACCTACTCCTACTCCTCGAACTCAGGGTGCATTTCACCCTCCCAGTGTGTGTGTGTGTGTGGGGGGGGGCCCTCAAAGTCCTCTCCAGGCTGGACTTCTGTGTCCTTCCACCAAGGTAGGCAGAAGGCCAGAGCAGCCGAGGCTTCCCTGAACTGGGCACATGGGGCAGGGGCAGAGCATACACAGGTCTCGAACTGACCAGGATCCTCCCTACCTCCACCATGGGGGCCATTCTGGATCTAGCATGGTGCTAGCCTAGTTTAGCATGAGGGAAAAAAGGCATTTTCTGAGGTGCCTACCCAGGGTCTCAATCATGCCCCTGGTTCTAGTCTGGCATCATCCAAAGGGAGTGTGAGCAGAGCCTCCATGGGCACAACCACAGGCTAGGCAAGAAGGGGAACATGGCAGGTAGAGACACCAATGCAACTGAGGATCTTCTTCAGAAGAAGACTGAAGATGGCAGAGGGGACCACAGGTCAGAAAAGGACACCAAGGTCAGTAGATGATGAGAGACAATAGTTCTGCTATGCCTGACTGGTGACACTCTATCCTGGAAACAGCATAGCTGTGCTCTGAGGCAATGGCCTGCTGTCTCCACTGTTGCATAGGCCCTAAGGTACAGATGTGCCATCCCCTGGTCCCGGAGACCTGGATCCTGGGACAAAAGGAAACACATGCCTGTCTGTTCTCACCACAGGCTTGTTCTATATTCAGACCTTGTGGGACATCTGCCTTGCCACCCATGCCCACGCAGGGCCCGGTCTTGGCACCTCCCAAAAGGCCCAGGCTCCAGTCTGCGGGTGCGAGGATGTTGTGGCATGTGGCTGGGGATCCCCTTCCTTTGTCTATCTTTAGCAACAGGAACTAGGCAGCAGGTTGCAGGGACACTCAGAGGAAACAGGAGCCCATCAGCCTGGCAGAGCCATGGGCAGGCGAGACCCTGTATTTCTAGAGCCCATGGGAAATCCAGCCATAGTCCCGGCACCAACGAGCTGGCAGGCATGTGAAAGCGGTGTTTTGGAGACATGAACACAAATTACAGTTAGCAATTACTAAGCACCTATTGCATACTAGGAAATCTGCAAGGCGTCAGGTCATATGTATGCACAGCCACTCTGCCAGTCAGGGCATGTCACCCCTGATTCCAACATTCCAGGCATTCCCTAACACCTGAAATCAACCCCAGATCACTAGTCCTGCCACTCTGCATGGTCTAAGTCTGCTTTTCTAGGTCCCACGCCAGCCCCAGGGACTTTGCACAGGCTGTTCCCTGCCTGAACACCCTTCCCCCAGATAGTGAACACTCACTTCCTCAAGTCTTTGCTCCAACGTCATCTCCCTGGAGGCCCTCTCTGATTTCCCCAGGGGAATTAACCAATGCCCTCCAACCCTCACTCTCTCTGTAACCCTGTCTAGGCACCTTTAGGCCACATGCTAGACGTTAAATGTGTGTTACGGCATCTCTTGACCAGACTCATTCCTCATCAACTGGGACCTCTGCCTGCTCTAACCGCTTCCCTCCCACACCTGGAGTACAGCCACACTCTCCGTTATCATGTCATTACACAAATGAACTCAGAGACACCGACTCAGAGAGACAAAGCTCAGAGTTAAGGAGGCCTGCCTGCTAGAGTTCAAGTACATCCCTGCCTGGAGCATCTCCCGGCAGCCTCAGAGAGAAGACAGCAGAAGGAAGCAAGGCCAGCAGGGCCAGGGCCCAGATGACACACTGAGCAACCTGGAGGCCGAGCCCTGAGGGCCAGGACACAGACAGAAGGGCAGCCTTCGGCCACATGGAGGGGGAGGGAGGCCTCAGAAAGGACGAGGCTGCCAAACGTTACATAACCTGCGGCACAGGGCTCCACCCGAGCTCCCGTTTCCTGATGAGTCTCCAGCAGCCATGTGCAGGCCAGGCCTAGGGTGAGCAGGAGAGGACACCCATTGACCTGCCTTCCCTACTCCCTGGGTGGCATGCCTTCCTGCACTCAGATGGGGATGGGCCAACAGTCAAAGGCCTTAGCCACTGCTTCAAGATTTACAGGACCCAAGTGACCCTCTCATTCTGTGATTTTGCTTTCGAGACACGGTCCTGTAGCCCAGGCTAGCCCTGAATTCCCGCTCCTACTGCCTCAACCCTCCTGAGCGCCACACATGCCACCATGGCCATATTGTGGTGGTCTGACGTTGAGGGGGTGGGAAGCAGATGGCCAAGGCCAGGGGCTCTACAAAGGCCAGCTCACACCCTCCCACAAGTGTGTGCTCGGCCTGTGCTTCAGGGCTATCTGCCTCTGCTTATTGCCCTTACTGTGTCCTCAGGACCAGACGGCTCGGAAGTCGCCTGGAGAGAATCAGCCCACCTCCTCTACAGGCTGCCACTAGGGCAGACCCCTGAATGACAACATGGGGGATAGGGACCCCCTTCTTGAGCAGCCTGGCTCCATCCCACTCAGCCAGGGTCACCTTCTCAGACCTATAGTTCACCATAATTCCTACATCCTGCTACAGAATTAGCCAGCTCCTCAGGGAACTCCAGCCATGCCTCCCACCAGACACAGATTTTGTCCTATACTCAAGTGGCCTGGGCCAGAGACTGGACTTTCCTCAGTGGAAGACACTGGCTCCTCACACACTCTTGAAGCAGACGTTCCCCCATCCTTGTTTCATTATACAGGCGGAAACTGAGGCCTACAGGCCGAGCTGTGAGTCCTGAGCACAGCCACAGGACCGCAGACTCAGGTTAGAGACCCACCAGGCCATGCATACATGCTGTGTCCATCTCTCAGCTGGGACAAACATGCCACACCCAGAGTACATCTGTACCCTGAGCTTTCTGCCATTGGCACCCCCGCAGCTTTAGCTGGTGGGGAGCTGGCGAGATCTGAGTACTGCACTGGTACTATGAAGGATGCATCCTCCCCAGGGACTAGGTAGTTCTTCCCATTTCACAGGCTGAGACACTGAGGCACAGAGAGGACAAGACACTTGTACAAAGCCACATAGTCTATTAAGTGGCAGAGCCTAGACAGACAGACAGACACAGACAGACAGACAGACACACACACACATTTATCAGCACACACACAGCCCTTAGTGGTAACTGCTGCATAGTGATTGAAAGGGCTTCATATACAGGAGATAGATAGGTGGCTGTGACATAAGTGACAGGGGGCTACCACAAAGAGCAAGCAGGCAGGGAGCCCTACAGAGCGCCTCCCATTCCCAGGCACCTCATCTGTGACTCACAGGACCACCAGCAGTCCTGTCCCGTTCCCCCTGCTGGACCCTCACCTGCCTTCGAGATGAAGAAACAGCTCAGTAGGGAGAAACTACTTCTGAGGTCACATAGGTGCTCAACCCACACGCCTGAAGCTAGTGTACTCACTGGGTGCTCAGGTTCACTGACCCACTGGGGGTCCTTGGGAGCAGAGGGAGAAGTCCCTGGAAACATGGGGATGGCAATTGCAGCCCGACTGGGCTGAGGAGGGACTCTGCATGGGGTCTGAGAAGGGTTCTAATGGAATGACAGTATCTCTGGCCTGCCCTACTGTGTTGTACCACACCATGCCATGCACTGCTGTGTGATCTGCTCTGGGCCTCGGCAGGCTCCAGCGACACATCTTCGGTGGCACAGAATTCCATACAACATTAAACCCGGGAAGGGTGGATGCAAGATCCCCTCCTAAGCCTCAGACCTCAGCAGGAGGTTTGAAGGAGGGGTGGTAGAGTTACCCAGCTGTGGAGTGCACACACCCACTTAGATGGCTCAAGAGCCTCCCCAGACCTCAGTTTTCCCAGCCCTAGAACGGTGAGGATCACAAGTGTGTCCATGAGGAGAGAGAGGAGAGGAGGATAGCGGGAAGGCAGTCCCTTGGATGGCTCCCCAAGGCCTTCCTGGACATGGGTGTAAAAGAGGTCATGCATGAACACATCTCACAGCTTTCAGTGTGGGATGTGCCTGGCCCCTAAGGCCTCCTCCAGCTTCTGATTTTTGGGACCCTCCTTCTCTGTCACTGAAGCCCTAATGCCCAAAAGAGCAGCCAAGCAGAGGCCAAGCTGCTCACTCAGGATTCTTTTGCCTCTGGGTCTCCAACCCAGGGTGCTGAGAGCGACGGTGAATTCCTGGCTGAGTCAGGACCCGGCCCACCCTCACCTCCCCATGCGGGCACCAGGCAGCCAGGGCCACATGATGGGGGAGGCTGTGGGAGGCCTGGTGGGCCACAGTCCCCGGGGGGAAGGGGAGGGGGAGCCAACCCGTGAGTTCTGGTCCAGACTCACCATCTTTAGCTTGTGTTGCTGAAGGATCTCATCCAGGTTCTGCCTCTTTTTGTAGTTGAAGTAGAAGTTCTTACACTGGGACACGGTCTTGGAGCCCACCATGCGGGCGATGGCTGACCAGTTTCTCCCATGTTCGAGGAGGCCTGCAGGTGAAGAGCAGGTGAGGGTTCACGTCAGTCTAAGAACAAGGCGCCTAGCCATGGATCAGGAAACAGACAACGACAGGGCATGGCCCCAAGTGAGGCCACATTTAAGATTCTAGGGGGCAGAACACAGGCCTCCCCTCCCCTCCTCCTCAGTCAGGCTGAAGTTATGGTGACCCAGGCCTGACACTGCACAGCTGCAGCGAGGCCCCAGGAGAGCAAGCCTGTTTTCCGGTCTCACTGTAGGTGAAGGAAAAAGCTGTGGAAGAGTAGAGGTCGGAGGAGGGCCAAGCTGGAGAAGGGAGCAGGGTGAGTTTGGGCTCTCACACCTAAAGAGCCACAACAGACTCGGGGCCCACCTGGCCTGGATGGGCTCAGCAGCTACGGGTGGATCTGTCCCAAGTCACAGCTTGAGACCACATGGTGGGAGAAACTCCAGATCTGCAGTCCCCTCCAAGCCCACCGAAGCCACAGACTATTCACAAGCTCGGAGCTCTGCCCAGAGAGGCGTACACAGTTCAACTCTGAGCTAGAGTCCCACCTCATCCCTCCTTACCAACCTTCCATGGGGCCCAGCTTCCCCGAAGGCAGAGTGGGCCACTTTCCCATAGCAATGGCAGAACCTGCTTCTGGGGATGGCAGTTAGGAGGCTGGAGGACAACAGTGCCACAACCTGAACTACAAAGCCACTTGTAATAATGCTAAGGGACGATTTCCCATCACTGAGTTTCAAGTCATTTTCCTCTACACAAGTCAAAGATGTAACTGCGACTGCTGGGGAGGGAAGGGAAGCAGGGGAGAAGAGAGGAGAAAGGAGATGGGGTGGGAGGGGGAGGGGAGGGCCCACCCCACTCTCTCTCACTCATTTCCCCCCCACTCTCCCTCACTCATCCCCCTCATTCAAACTCCAGTTGGTGGCTTCCTACAAACAAAGGAAACAACAAAAGGCCCAACACAGCAGCAAGTGACCCCTTAGGTCTACACAGCTTTGTATCTGAGTCTGCTTGCCCCGCCCCCACACCCTGGTCAAGACTGGGACTGTGACAGTTCCACCCACCTCACCCAGCTCAGGAGTGGGTCTTGAAGCCCCAGTTTTTCACTGTAGCAGCCTCAAGGGCCCCATGGTATGGGGGAGGTGCCTGACAGCCAGGCCACCTGCTGGCCTGCAGTGACCACAAGAGCCACGTGGCTCCGTAGCTGCTTCTCAGGGATCCTCAAGGACAGGAGGCAGGGAGGGCCGGGGCTCGGCATCAAGTGTAACTCAGCCCCTGACCTTTCCCTCCACCCGCGCCAGCAGCAGCTGCCACTTCCAGAACCTGGCGGCTAGGGCTGCGTTTATTTATATTTCCCGAGCGCGGGCCAAGAGGGCCCAGCAAACACGTCAGGCCGAGGGATCGCAGGCCCGGAACCCCAGGGCAGGTCTCCATTTGGAACTATTGGGGGTTGGGTGACTGAAAAGGCTGGGTGTGTATGGGGGGGTGGCCCGATTCTGGGGAGCAGACATTTCCAAATTCAGTTAAGTCAACAAGGAGTAGGGCAGCTGGGTCCACTAACTAACTCAGCCTATAGAAGAAGTGAGGAGAACTGACAGGAAGGGGGGATGACACTCAGCTGTTCCCAAACACATGTGGTCACCAAAGAGCACCGTGCAGAGCTGTCAGGGAGCCCTTCCCAGAGTGCGCCCCACAGTCCTGGGAAGATACCCACTTCCTCAGCTCTTGTTCTAGGAACCTCACACCGGGCTGCTGTGCACAGGGGCACCTCATGTCCCCATGTGGTGGAGACAGCCCAGCTGCCCTGTCCACCCCAGAGGAGCCCCTCTGAGAATGCCCCAACCAAGCCTGGAGCCCAAAATGTGCAGCCTTCTTCCAGGGGATCTTGGCTGCATCCTAGAGAGGCAAAAAGGGGCACCAGGGGAGGGAGAACCATGGCCAACGGGTCCAAAATTCCAAGTCACCCGCAACACACTTGCAGCCCAAAGTCCCTGTCACCAGCCAACCCACCCTCCAGTCCCATCCCCAGCTGGGGGCCAACTCACATCCTCTCATCTGTGTCTCCCCCTCGGCCAAGTTTTCCGGAAACATCCGGCTGGAAGGATGCTCCAGGGAGTGGAGCAGTGATCAGGAGGCTGTGGCCGCAAGGCTCCTTAGGGCTTCTTGCTGGTATCCCTTGGCTCTAGCTCTGTTCACATCCCAGGAGCAGAGAGGGTGAGAGCAGGCACTGGGGGCAGGAGCTGCTCAGCACCCCACGGGCCCAGAGCTCCTCCAGCCACTGCTACCAGCTGCCTCGGGGAGCAGAGCAGTGCCCTTCCCGCTTGGGAGGGGGGCGAGGGAGCCAACAGCGGGAAGTTGTCAGTTCTGTGTGCCGGGTTTCTCTGTGCCAGGCGTCACCAGCGCGCACGCGGCGTCCGCAGTTCTTCCAGGCACCAGTGTTCTCAGGGAGGACACTTGGGGAGGGTGCTGGCCGCAAGCCCCCAGACCCATCAAGCCACATGAAATCCAAAAGCTCTGGGCAGGGCAGGAGCAGCAGCTGTGTCCCTCAGCGGCTGGGCTGTGGGACCCAGGGCTCCGCTCAGCTCTTCTTGCTGCCTGACCCAGCGAGCCGCGTCAGGACTGAATGTGACCTCCAGACGCTGCGGGCGGGGGCGGGCGGGGGCCGGGCACAGGCCCAGGTTCGGCTGGGCGGGCCAACTGGCACAAGCTCCCTCCCTCTCTCCCCATCCGTGGCAGCGTCAGCAGCGGTAAGAACAGACTGAGGGATCCAGAAAAACAGAGCTCCCACCCCCGGCAGGCAGGGAGCAAGCAGCCTCTTCCGCCCGCCCGCCAGCCAGCCAGCCCTCCCCGTCAGCCAGCCAGTTCCACCTGCGGTCGCACTCCCCCTTTCCTCACAGGCCCCCAAAGCTAGACCAGGCAGCCTCCCAGAGGGCCGTGGGTGGCCAGGACTGGTTAGCTTTCTATGGGGGTGAGGGGTGGGGAACTTGGAACCTACTTGGGAGTACTCCAACACCAGCAACCATTTGGGGTGGAGGAGGGGCCTGGGACTCCCAGAGGTCTGACCTAGGGTCTGATGGCTACCTACTATATCTTGTCTTCTCGGAAAGCACCTGCTGCAAGGTCCCAATGGCTCCTGGGAGGCCAAGACAATCAAGCTGCCTCCTAGAGCGGCATCCAGTCAGGCTGGCTTCCAGGACCAACTCTTCCCTCTAGCCCTTGCCCTTCCATTCTGTTCTAGAAGCCCAGAGGACAAGGACAGACAGGTTGGAGCTTTCCTGTATCCTGGGGCAGGTGGTAAAGAGGTCCCAATACTGCTGAGAACCCAGGTCTTTCCCAGAATCTCACTGTCCTCTACGGGGCAAGGACTCCAAAGGGGGCCAAGCACACACCCTGTCAAAGTGTCAGGGTGTTCCTGGAAGGAAACTCAAAAGCTCCCAAGACTGAAGAACCCCAGAGAACAGACAACTCTACTGCTCCCTGAGAAGGCCTCAGGATATTTGCATCTACCCAAGAAGCATTCTGGGCCCTGCCTCTGGCCCTGGGGAGTGGGGTAGTATGTAATTTCCATAGCATCTACTCCTGGAGACCAGCTCCTTTGTTGCACCCATCCATGACTGCACTCAAAAAAGAATGAAGCCCTAGATGCCCAAGTCTCTGAGGCGGGGATCCAGGAAGATCCCATGAGTGTCTTGGTGGGGTTAACCCTGGGGATCCCGAGCTGGCAGACACACTGCCAACACTGGGAGCCCGAATGCTCAGTGCGACAGTTTCACCAGCCTGCCTTGCGGTCTTGGGTTCTCCCACCCCACTAATTTCTAAGGAAGGAATTTCAGAGGCAGCTACTTAGGAAGTGAAATTGGCCAAGACAGGAAGTCAAGGCAGGGGGCCTGAGTCAGAGCCTGAAGCTGGCAGAGGGCTGAAGGAGCCCAACAGCCACAGTGAGGAGGAAGAAATGGTGGCTGAGGTGACCCTTTTCTCATGTGCTACTTGGGACCCGTGAAGGCTCCAGTGGCTCAGGGGCTATGACTGTTCCAGGCCCAGGCCCTCACAGGGCCCTGTGCTCAGCAAGTATGTAGGCCTCTGACCTGGGACAACACACTGGAGAACTTGCTCTCCCACAGTTTGGGGCTCCTGGCTCCTCCCAGGAAGTTTAGGAGGGTATGCCATCCCAACCTCCACCCTCACAGCAGCTTTCCTAGACTCCCTTGCACAGCAAAACCTTCCCAGAGCAAGAAGTGAGACAAAGGCATCCTCCCTGTCCTGGGTCCTCCAGCCGCACCCTCCTTCCTTCAGAAAGGCTGAGGTGTGTGTGCTCACTGAACACCAGCGGCCCAGAGACCTACAGTGACATGTGGGGCGTAAGAATGACCTCATCCTTGAAGCTGCCCTGGCTGCCTTCTCACCTCACACTTTAGACCTTAGCACTTGTACTTGCCAATCATGGATACAACGGAGGCATACCATGTACCCACTTGTGAGACAAAATCAACAGGGGAGGCCCTAAGGCCGTCCACCTACAGGGCCACACATAGCCTGGTCTGTAGGATCAGAGTGCTCTGTCCCCGGAGGCTTGGCTGGCTACTCTCATTGAGGCATACCATGACACTTTCTCATGTGCGAGGCAGAAACAAGGTGTGCATAGGAACATGGAGTCACCAGAGTCATTCAGTACCCGTCCCTCTCCAGCAAGGAGTCGGATGTTGGGCCAGAGTGAGGGAAGGCAGGAGCTGACATCTCCTTTACGGTATCAATGAGAGACGAATCAAAATCTAGCAGGCCCATGTCTGGCTGTACCTGAGTCCATACAGAAATCCTACTTTCTCCCTTGGAATCATAAACAAGGGGCCAGAAACGCCCAGACACACTCCTCCAGGGCCATCTCCATTATGCCTAGGGAGATCTCCATGCCCACTCATCATCTCCTCACTTGGATGTGGCTCCTGAATTCAGTGTACTAGCCATTGGCTGGGCACACTTGGCCAAGCTGCTTCACTGCTGTGCACAGGGCTCCCTAGGAGGTACACAGTGCATTCTTGGAAAGGTCAGCCTGAACTGGCAATGGGGACAGCGTGAACTCTAACAAAACAATGGCTGAGCACCTCCCCACCAGGCATAGGTACTCAACCATGAGAAAGATGAGACCAGACCACATCCACTGGCAGGTAGGGCTATCAAGGGAGGGTGTGTCTCCTGAGCAGAGCTAGCACGGGACACCGGCCTCCACTGCCTGCCCTGGAAATAGCATGTGGTGCTCCTGGTTTAAGTCCAGTGGGGGCAGCCCTACCCTCTCACCACCAGCTCTGCCCAGGGTCAAAATTCCTTAAGACCCAGGCTAACCTCTCTGGGAACTTGAGGCCACTGGCCTAGCCCTGCAGGCCCCTTCCTCCCACTGTGGCCCTCCTCCTAAGGCAGGCAAGGGGCCAGGTCCCTGGGTATACCCAGTTCCTAAGGAGGCAGCTTCCTGCTCAAGCTTAGGCTCAGGCTCCACCCAGTGTGAGCCCAGGAGAGCAGCCCTGCCTCCTTAACACACACACATACCACACACAGAGATCCTGGACCATCAGGTTGCCAGAGACTAACTCCAAGTCCCTTCAGTCCTCTGAATAGTGTCCAAACTCTGAAACTCCAACGCTGTCACCAGAGCCACTGTGGTCTCTCCATTTCTGCCTCTCCGGTCCTCATTGTCTGGATTTCTAATATGTCTCACTTGAGTGCACTGTCCCTGACACAGGGCTATCTGCTCCACTGGCTGCCCTTCCTTCCTTCATAACTTAGAAAATAGCAGCACAGGGACCCACTGACTCAGTCCCCTCACCACTGAGTCCTACTTTGCAAGTAGAGCTTGGGTTCCAATCCCAGATCCCTCATTTCACAGCTATATGATCTTGGGTAGTCATTCAGAATCTCTGGGTCTCTCTCCTCATTTGCATGACAGCGGCTGCCTCAAAGCAGGATGCAGACGTATTATCTTCTTTCATATAGTAGGCTCACGCTCCACTTGAGGCTGAATAACTGCTTGGCAGGCCATGCCCCTGCATGCCAACCTCCCAAGGACACAGGCGAGGATCACTCCCATGCTACAGGTACCCACTCAGGCCAGATTCCATAGGAGGCAGTGTCACACAGGCTGTGCCCACTGTATACCAAGGACTACAAACATTTGGCTCCTTCCGCCTTGATGATAAACCCAGAAGGCCAACCTCCCTGCCTTTTTTTTTTTTTTTTCGGGGGTGGGGGCAGTGAATGAAACTAGGTAGAAATGGGGAGGCAGGCAAGCAGACCAAGGAGCTGCAGAGGTGACAGGGCAGGACAAGGTGCCAAAATGGCTAAGGCATCAAGACTTCAAGGTCAGCTATCGACTAATTATTGACTCTTAATCAATAAAGCCACATGGATGTGGCTTAGACGATATTCCCAACTAAAGTTTTATGTTCACCTAGAAGTTATGCACAGGGAAATGCGCCCGTGGAAGAGACAGAGGATACAAAGAGGCTAAGGAGGATTCTGTGGCTAGGTGTGGTAGAACACACCTTTAAACACAGCACTCAGGAGGCAGAGATGGGGACCTCTTCAAATTCAAGGCCAGCCAGGGATACAAAGAGATCCTGTCTTAAAAGGAAAAGAAACAAAAACAAAAAACACAAGACAAAAGAAAAGAGAAAAGGAGGAGGAGGAAATCCAGATACAAGGGAGGAGGCATGGCAAGGTCATGAGAGGATGGAGGCTAGCAATGTGAGGACACCACCTGAGGTGGGATGTGGGTGCCAGCGCCTTGCCTGGAGCCTTGAAAGAAATATGGCCCTGCCCACACTTCAACTTTGCACCTCTCATCTCCTGAGCTAGGGAGAGAAAATTTTCCTATTGCGCTGCAGTCAGTGACTAGTATACAGATGAAGAAAGTGACTGGTCTGAGGTCACATACACAGGAAATCCAACGAGGTTTCTCTTGGGGTGGGGCTGGGCTCTCCTGCAGCTGTCCTTCACAGCTGGGCTACAGAGGATGCTCCAGTGGCTCTGGGAACACCTGGCTGCTTACCTGCCTGGGTTCCCTGAGGGCCTGGTTCACTGTAGGATCCTACCCCACACTGGGCCAAGAATGGGTGAGTACCATCTGCCTGGGACACAGCTTGGCTCGGGTCATTTTCCTCTCTGAGTTGTCAGCACTCTCTCAGCAGGGTGCCCTGGAACATTCTTAGCCTCTCACCCCCACAGGCAGTGGAAAAGGAGCTACCAAGGGCTGTACGCACCTGCCTCCCCACCCCCGCCTCCGGAACAGCCATCAGCAGCCACTGTGAGCAGGCATAATTGTCCAGATTGCTGTAATTCACAGCAGCAACCCGCGCCGGCGCTCACAACGCTATTTCAAATGTCACTGAGCAGGGCCGGTGCACATGGGCCCTGGGATCACTGGAGATGAGCTCCCAGCCCTCCCTGTAGGCCCTAACCTTGAGACAGTGGCATGGGGCAACCCATCCCAGCTGGTGAGTCATCCCACCCCCTCCCACCTCCTGATCTGCCTTCCAAAACAGGGGGGGGGGGGGAAGCAGCCTCCTGGTGTCAGGCAGTGCCGCTGGTGACAGCATGAGAACACTTGAGAGGCTGCAAGCACTTCAGGATATGGGAAAAGGTGGCCACTTCCCATGAGTAATTGCACAGCTGGTATGCTGAGATGGGAGGACCCACATGTGAGTAAAAGCAAAGGAGTCACATGATGCCCACAGAAGCACGCACAGTCCAAAGTGGGGACAACCCACCACTCTGTCACCAGGTAAGCCCACAGGGAAGAAAGTGGGGGGTAGGGGGCCTGCACTCTGTGTTGTTTCATGTAGCTCTGCATCCTTCACAGGTACGTGAACCCTGAACACAGCTCAAAGGGAGTGCAGCCAGGCATAAGGACTACAGCGGCAGGAATCTTTCCTGTAAGTGTCAGGACGAAATGACTTCTAGCCACAGACCGGAAGTCCATTAGTGCTGCCTCGCCCTTAGACTGATGGGCAGGAGGTACTGATAATGGGTACGGGATTTCCATCTAGGGCGTGGAAAATTGTAGCGCACCATTGTGGGAAAATGTAGGTGGTGGCATTTTTTGTTTGGTTGTTTGAGACAGGGTCTCATGCAGTCCATGTTGGCATCCCCTGTGCTACCTAAGTGAGGGTGAGAATAAACTCATGGTCCTCCTGCCTCTGCCTCCCATGTGCTGGAATGACAGGCATGTGCCACCAGGCCCAGTACTTTTCAGTGGTCAAGTCCGTTATACATACTTTGAGGCGATTAAACCATAGGAATCGAACCATTACATAAAGACTCTTTAGAATTCATACCACAAACCACGATGTAGACGCACGCACAAAAAAAAAAAAAAACCCATCAAACTGACAACACAGGCCCTCTGGGATGAGTGCACACCACACCCAGCTGGCTAGAGACACAACCACGGAGCCCTGCAGACAACTGCCCCACTGTCCTTTCTGAGCGATGGTACAGCCCCCAGGCTAGGCCTACCCTTAGGTGAAGGAGGGCACAGGCCAGAAGGAGGATGGGGAGCAGTCAGAGTACCCTCCAGGTTGCTGGCTGCTCCCCAGGAGGTTTGGGACATTCCTGCCGGACCCATTAGACCCTCAGCAAACCCCACGAGAGTGGGGAGGAACAGGTCTGAGGAGCAAAATGACAGGTGTGCGAGCACTCTTAATCAAAGCCACTGGTTCCTACCATGCACGTCACAGCCTGGACACAGCCTCGGGGCAGGGTGTGAGGGACGAGGGACAAGAGGACAGGGCTCGCTCCCGATCCTCAGTGTTTTCACCTCTGGAGCTTTGGGAGACCTTCAGCCTCAGCTCCTCCTCCATGACAGTGGGCAGGGATTGGAGCTACAGCTACATCTCAGAGAAGAATCATGGCAAAAGAGGTGGCAACTAAGGCAGGAACCAAATGCAGTGCCCCACACTCACAGCAGCAGGTGGCTTTGTGTCTTTCAGAGAGTGAGTGCGCTGGGGAGGCAGGGACACAGCATGTTCACAGCTGCTGGCTCTGGGACCCTTGGTGAAAGCCGTCTGTCCTGAGGCCCCCTAATGCCTGGCTTTAACTCCTTACAGCCAGGCATGAATGGCACTCCTATCTTAGGGATGGGAAAACTGAGTCTCAGAGCTAGGTCACCAAGCTGGAAAGTGAAGCCTCAGCCATGCTGAATGTGGTTTCAAGAGAGGTTATGATAATGTCACCAGGGCTACCAGGACCCCAGGAGGCATGCCCCAAAGGTCAGGTTCTACTGTTAGGGCTCAGAGAGGTGCCAGGGTTAGGGGTCCTGTCTCATCAGCAGGATGTGGTAAGAAATGTCAATCTCAGAGGGTGTAATGGCCTAGCCCAGCCTGTCATGTCGAATGTCACAAGGTCACCAACAGCCGGCAACTCCCGGCGACTCCCTATTTTGAAAATTCAGTCTTGGCCTCGTGATGTAGACACGCACCCAAACATGCACCCAAGCCTGGGGACCTCTGAGACCCCATAGAAGAGCCACATACTTGTGTGAAGACAAGAAGTCCTATAGTTCCAACACAGTGGCCTGCCTCGATGGCCAGGGAGCTGTGACTCCACCAGGCACCTTGTCCACTGTCCTCTCAGGCCAGTGGCACTAGCCACTTATGCACTCAACCCACAGGCTACTGAGCTATCATGACTTCAGGTACAGCACACCACTCGCAGAACTAACCCATTCTCTGGCAGGTCCACTAAGGCTCTGAAGAGTCCAACTCCAGGCCGGATGCACCAGCAACTTTGCAAGACATCCCAGTACCTGGGACAAACTCAAGCATATTGCACAGCATCATGGCACCTTACCTTTCTTCGCTGTCTCCATCTCCTCCTCAGTCCATCGAGAACTCTCATTCATCTCCATGGAAGCTGAAAGGGAGACAGGGCAATTGGTAACAGTCCCTCAGCGTAATTTCCCTACAGTCTGCTCTGAGCCAGCGGAGGCTTAATCCCAGCTACCCTGTACCACAGTGCCGGACAGGTGGGTGCTGTGCACGGCGGTGCCCTTGCTCTCCATGTAGCCCCACAGCCCACTATGCTGTGAGGACCTGCTATCTCAATCTACAGACAAGAAAACTGAGGTGGCTAGGGACTGAGCTACAACACCTGGCTCCACACGCACTCTGCTAGCAAGGGGTAGCCTGCCTGGGGAACATGATCACAAGTGTGAAGGAGGGATGATGGGCAGGTAGACAGGGGCCCCACTGTGAGGAGCAGGCCGTTTCACCTCCTCAGATGCTACCCTCTGGACCAGTGCTTCTCAGCCTGAGGGGTCATATCAAAGAGCCTGCATGTCAGATGTTTGCGTTACGATTCATAACAGCAACGAAAATAGTTATGAAACAGCAACGAAAACTCTTCATGTGGGGGGGTCACCACGACCTGAGAAACTGAATTAAAGGGCTGTGGTGTTAGGAAGTTGAGAACCACTGCTCTAGATGCTCACAGCCCTTCTCCAACCATGACGGTCAAAACAGCTCCTTTGCATTTGCCCATGTCCCATAAGTGACATCACCATGGCTGGGACTCTTCTTGTGCTGGTGACTGTCATAGCCTCCCCAGCTTGTCCAAAGCCCCTCAGAAAGGATATAGCCAGGCGTAGGTTGGTCAGAGGCTTGAACTATGCACTATTCTCCAGCAGCATCCCAGGTAGCCTGCCCAGAACCCAGCTATGAGCCCCTGACAGGGGGGAGTTGGGAACTGTGCCAGGCACAGTATGGTCTATTCAAACTAAGGGACAGCGAGGGCAGCAAGGAGCTGAAGGTAGGGAGGGAAGAGATAGTGTCATGCCCATTCCTGCTGCTGAGCCCTGGTTGTCTCCCAGATCTCCCAGGATCCCCTGTCTTTCCAAGGGTAGCCCTAAGGGAGGCTTTGCAAGCCCTGGGTAGAAGATTCTGGAGCACTGAGGGAAGCCCTGGGTGTGTTTTCTACCCTTCGGGCTAGAGGACTGTCCTCCACTAGGTGTGCCTCAAAGCTTCTCACAGACCCTCGGGCATACTGGCACCAAGTGGCAGCTGACACATGACCAGAGCCAGGTAGGGTCCATGGTCATTGGGGCTGAGTTCCAATTATACCTGTGATTCCACACGGCCCCAGTAAAGTAAAGCAACCCATGAGTAAAAGCCCAAGCCACTCCCAAGAGGAATGAGGGCCTAGTGCAGATCCAGGGAGCCCCTAGCAGGGTCTGTGAGAAACAGAACAGGTCTCACATCACTCTTCCCCGGGAAGAGCCCCAGGCAGCCAACATCTGCAGCACAGGATGAGTGACTAGAGCTGCAGTTCACCTCACCCTATCGGTCCTCTTTCTACCAAGTGGAGGCCCAAGAAAGCCCCTCTACAACATAAAGGGAAACCAAGACCCACAAAGGTGCAGGCGCCACCCACAAACTGTCCTCTTAACAGTAACTTCACCCAGCTCATCACCACCCCAAAGAGAGGGCCACATGGCTCATTCTTCTGATTTCAATACAACAAACAGGGGCTGGGTGGGGGAGGGGTGGGTGTTATTGCCTTTTCCCAGTCCTGAGCTCCGCCCGCGTCCAGGTTCTAGGCTCCTGGAATCTCTTATATTCTTGTCAGGTGTAGTTTCTCTCTGTGCACGTGCAGACGCTGAGGCAGAGAGAGAATGCCCTGGGTGAGCTCAGTAGGCATTTCGATCTGAACCCCCACCACAGAGAGCCAGGCCCTCAAGCTACAGGCAGTTTGCTCCAGCTTCATGGGAATCCTGGCAGGAACCAATCTCTCTGTGTCCCAGTCCCTCCCAGTCCCCAGACCCTGCTCACCCAGCTCCGAACTCTGCTGCAAGGTGGCAGCCTCCTCGTGGTTGGCCTCGTTGGCCATGGAGCGGGTGATGCGGCCTTTGCGGCGGCCTTGGCTGTTGGCAGTTTTGCGGCCTTTGGAGGCCACAGCCTCTTTCTCATCATTGTCCTCCCCAGAAGTGTCATCAGTCTTCTCCCTGCAGTTATGGAAGGGAGACCAGGATGGATCAGCTTGGGCTGGAAACCCCAAGACAACTGGAAGAGACCTTTGGGTCACTCTATCAGAGCTGGAGAAAGGGAAGAGGTGCTGCTGGGCCAAAGACGGCAGGCACTATGGGTAGGCAGATCCCTACGGGGGGGGGGGGGGTAATGGGAGCTCCTCCGGTCACCAGTGGGAACTCAAAGTGTTGTTCACTGGTACCACCAACCATACACCAAACAGGGAACCCTGCTGGAGGCCTTCGAGACTCTCTGCAGCCCTTTGACTAGCCACAGAAGACTTAATTCTGGCTCTTTACAGAGTAATCTGCTCAGGGTACCCAGGACTGCATGCCTGGAGAATCGCAGCCCAGGTTAGCTATGGGAGTGAACATGACGTGGGGAACTAGCTTCTGAGAAGCAACTGGGGCAGATTTATTGCCTCTGTCGCCCATTCATCTTCCTGAAAGATGCTGGCTGGAGCCGTGGAGACGGGGAAGGGGGAGGCTCTGGTGTGCACGGGGCCCATCACAGGCACCTGCAGCTCCTCCACCTTCTCCCACTGGCTTGGAGCTGTCGGGTGCTGATAGGGGTGACTATGAAAGTGAGGGCTGCCGGATGCTTGCAACCATGTAGCCCTCCCGAGGCTCTTCAGCCCATTCTCCCTCATGGACCTCAGGGGCCTTGGAGGGGAGGCAAGGCTGAGTGCCAAAGTGGCTGTCTGGATTTATGAGTGCAGGAGCAGGGCTCAAATGAGCAATCGGTCTCCTCGGTCTCTGGGGGGGCTGCGGAGAGGGCGGGGGATGGACGGAGGAGGGGCTGAGGCTTCCGGGAGGAAAGGCCTGGGAGAACTGACTGGGGCTCCAAACTGGCGCCAGGCTCGGCTCCCCAGGGCCCAGGTGTGAGCTGAGCAGCTGCAAGGCCTTACTTGCTGAGCTCTTCTTTCTCATGGTCCACATCCTGCTTCTCCTCCTCCTTGTCGGCCTCCTTCTCCTTCTCCTCCTTTTCCTCTTGGCTGCTCCGTGCCATCTGCTGCTGCTGCTGCTGCTGCTGCTGTTGCTGTTGCTGCTGCTGTTGCTGCTACAGCCCAGGGAGCAGAGGCAGGAGGGAAAAAGGAAGACAGGTGAAGCTGGGGAAGGGAGAGACGGTGAACGTGGAGGCTGGGGCAGCTGGGAACCCAGCCAGGTGGGAGCCGTTGGAGTCAGAGGGAAGTGTGAAAAAGCACTACACTTGGGCACCGGGGTTCAATTCCTGCCTTCTCCATTGAGCCTGGAGGAGTAACTCCTGTAGAAGGCCCGGGGGGTGGGGTGGGGAAAGGGAATAGGCAGAGCGCAGGCAGGCACACCAACAAAAAATGTGTGTATGTAGGGGCAGTGATGCAGCCCTCTTTCCCCCATTATTGCTTCCTGGCAGGAGAACAGTGGTCCACCATGGCTCTACAGCCTTGTCTTTTATAGGCTTAGGCTACACAGGAGACAGACAGCGACATCATGGCATACCGGTACACAGAGCAAAAGTCTGACTTGTAGAGTCATTGTGGGCTCTGGAGACAACACTTCTGTCTCCTCTGGATTCTCAGGTCACTCTCCCCACTACCAAGAACCTCATGATCTCTAAAGGGAGGGGCCAGGGCAGCCATCCTGCCCAGAAGCAGCCACGTGTGGCTGCTGGCTCCTCAGCTGGGTACCAGATGTCTGCCAGCCAGTCTAACAGATCCTAACCCTCCGTACAGCCCAGGGGCAAAGCCTCATCCCAGCAGACAGAGGACCTTGAAGCTGACACAGAATGGGTTTCCTGTCAGGTCAACAGTGTCCCCTCTTCATGTGCCCAAGGTGAGCCATGGAAACTGGGGGTCTGAACTCAAGGAGATGGAAAGGGATACAGGAGGAATTCCTGCTGCTTAGCTCATACTTCACAGCTGTCAGCACATCTGCCCTGAGCTCACCCGTGCAGGGGCACGGTATCCAAGACACTCAGCTCCCACCCCCATATGGAGGGGCTGGGATGGGGTGCTGGAACCAAGGACTCAGCCCTTGCTGCCCGTTGCACAGAACATATGGTGTCCCTACTCCCTACAGATAAGGGCAACAGCAGAGGGCAGGCTCCCCTGGCCTGATACTCACTTTGGCCTGAATGAAGCCATGTGCTTGGCCCCTACTGGCTCCTGGGAGACTTAAAAGGGGTGCTGGGTCCTTTGACCAGCTGCTTGAGGTTGGCAAATCACAGGGCCTGCAAGCCTGGCTGGTAGTGCTGGCCAGCCATGCCCAGGAATCTCAGGTTTGCCATGGCTTTGTGGGCAGCTCTGTGGCTTCTGGTGCCCAAAGGCTGCCAGACCCCAATTGCACCAAGACCACCATGATCCCTGGCTGGAGGCAGCATCAATATTTTCAATGTCTCAGCTTAGTCACAAGCAGTGGGACACACCTGTAACCCCAACACCTGGCAGGGAGACCCAGAAGGACGGCAGCAAATTAAAAAGGCCAGCCAGGGCTACATAGTGAGACCCTGTCTCAAATGAAACCATACAAACAAAAGTAAAGTTCCAGGTTGTCCCAGTGAATTCCCAAGTTTACAGACTAGCTGGCACGTTCTTATCTAAAGCTGAAGAGAAGGACGTCAGGGCGCGCAACCTGTAGGTTCCAAGGCATGTGGCTTGGTTCTGCACTATGTGAACAAATGGGAATGGTCATATGCCAATAAAGCTTTATTTACAAAAGCAAGCAGTGGGGCTGAGTTCGGCTGTAGGTTGACTATAGGTGACCCAGAGGCTCCATAAGGTCACCTGGCCCCTCTCAAGTCTGCTGCTTGGGTCCTCAGACCAGTGTGAGAGAAAACTTCAGGTGTCTGTATCACACAGCCGAGGGATGCCCCCGGACTCCTCAGCTCCAGCTTGGACATCCAGGAGAAGCAGAATCAGAATGCCCTCATGCCCATGGACGGCCACCATCCCATGACTCCCAAGCATGTAATATAAGTGACAACTCAACAGTTATGGTCAGGGTAACCGTGTATGTCCCCCAACCCCAGATCACAGCGCTGTGGGCATCCTGAAAGGACCTACAGGGCACTGCAGGTATCTGTTCGAATCTGCTAGGACCCATTTTTCAGAAAACAACAGTAAGAAGGACAGATGTCAGTAGAGAACAATTATGTCACACCACACCGTAGCCTCCCTGCTCTTCCCAACAACCCTGATATTATACTGCTCCACAGATGAAAACAAGACACACAGAGAGGTAAAGCAACCCTTCTAAAGTCACACAGCATTTCCTAGCAGAGCCTGCAGCCAGATGAGACCTCCACCACGACCTTGGGGATTTCGGGTTCCTCCAGGTTAGTGGAACTGTGGCACTCACTTCATTCCTACCCTAAACAAACTCTTGTCTATAAGGGGCACCAAGCCCTCCCCTACCCCCTACCCCCGAGGTGTGGAGTCAATCCTACAGATCAAGTTCTGAAGCTGATTCCGTCAGGACTGAAGTGTTTTGAGGGAGGTCAAAGGTAAGGCCTTCAGAGGCACAAACAACCCTGCCATGAGTCACTGAGACTCCTGAGTGAGGAAGTGGGCCTCACAGGACCCAGCCTCTGCACTAGATTTTCAGGGGTTTGTGGTGGTCAAGATCAAGGCATTGGGGAGCCCCCGGATTCCATCCCTAACTTAAATATAGGAGAACCTGACAGTTCATAGCCATACTGTTACTGCATGCCGTACACACTGACTGACACACGCACTCACTCATCCAACAAACACTGTACTACTACACTACGAAGGACCGATGAACCGAACGCCCCAGCAAATGAGTCCCCTGTGTAGAAAAGGGGATGCGAGAGATTGGATGAGTGGTGGGAAATGGGGCCAGGGATCAGAGCAGAGGAAGAACAGTCTCTGCAGCTGGTGATGGACCCCTCACACTTGTCTGGGCACCCCATCCATCCTTTCCCAGGACACCTAACAAGGGATGTAGGCTCAGCAGAGGTATACTGAAGCTACCCGAGTTTGTGGAATAGCAAGGGCTAACCATGAAGCACGACCACCCTGTCATTAACAGAACACATGCTTTGTGGTTGGTTTGAGACCAGAGTTTTGTCGTTGCTGTTTTCAGGTAGGGCCTCACTATGTAGCCCTGGTTAGCCTGGAACTTGCTATGTAGTCTAGGCTGGCCTTGAACTCAAAGAAATCTTCCTGCCTCTGTCTCCTGGGTGCTAGGACTTAAAGGCGTGCATCACCACACAAGGCCAGAGATCAGCTTTTGAACAGACATCCGGGGCTGAGTCACATGGTGCCTCTAAGGTCCAGCTGTGCGGTACCCCTGGTCCAGCCAGCCTACAATGTGAGGTCATTCCCACTGCTTGAAGGATGGAACATGAGCAGGATTTGGTGTGTGCCTGAACGGCCCTCTGAGGCCTGCAGGAGTTAAGAATGCATATGGTGGAAGGGGCATTTGTACACTCTACGGTGGCTCCCAGAGCTTCCTGCTCAAGCTTTCCTGTGTTGCCGTATTATGGAGACATTTCCACAAAGCACCATGGGACATGTGCCCAGGAGTTCGTTCACAGTGGACCAGGCTTGTCTACTTATTTAACCACAGACCTTGGGATGAAGCCCTGGGCCTTGGCACTAGCTAGCCAAGTGCTGTACCCCTAAGCTGCACCCTCAACCTCATTTTAAATCCTCAACTGGGGGCTGGGGGTGGGACTGGATGGGTGTGCCAGCTAGTTCTGTGTGAACTTGACACAAGCTAGAATCGTTTAGGTTGAGAGACTCTCAGCTGAGAAAATGTCCCCATCAGAACGGCCTGCAGCACATTTTCTAGGTTGATGATGCTATGGAAGGGCCGAAGCCGCTGTCTGAGCAGTGACTTCCTGGACTGGGGGTCCTGGGTGCTATAAGAAAGCAGACTAAAGCTGGGCACAGCGGCGCACTTCTGTAATCCCAGGACTCGGGAGGCAAAGGCAGGCAGCTGAGTTTGAGGTCAGCCTGGTCTACAAAGAAGAGCCAAGGACAGCCAGGAGACGAGGGTGTGGGGGAGAGAAGAGAAGAGGCAGGCTAAAGAAGCCATGGAGAGCAAGCCAGTAAGCAGTGTTCCTCCACGGCCTCTGGTTCAGTTCCTGCACCAGGTTCCCGTCCTGACTTCCCTCAAAATGGACTGTGCTGTGGAACTGGAAGAGGAAATAAATCTGTTTCTCTCCAAGTTGCTTCTGGTCATGATGTCTATGACAGCCACAGAGACCCTAACTGAGACAGTGGGCAAAGGTGCTTGCTACCTAAGCATAAGGACCCGAGTTCAGATCCCAGTACTGACATCAAACGCTGCACAGAGCTGTATGTGCCTGTAAGCCCCGTGCAATGGGGGAGGGAACTGGATCACTGGGCTTTGCTGGCCACCTGCTTAGCTCCAGGTTCAGCGACAGACCCTGCCTCAAGGAAATAAAAGAGAAACACAGGGACACCTGCCAACCTGTGCATACTCACACAATAGACACAGAGCACACGTAAACACACACACCTCCTAAACAGGACAACAGACATAGTGCACAGGCGTGCGCGCCCCCCGCCCCCCCCCCCCCATCATACGCCTCCTAAGCAGGATTCTGCCCTGCCATCAGAACACCTGAATAAAATTTGTGGTCCTCTCCACACATGGGACATCCATGCTGGACTGACCTCCATATGGTAACTAGTCCCACTCCCCTCTTGCCTTCACAAAAAGGCACTGGAGGGTCCCATCCTTGGGCCTTTATACCCACTGTGACCTTTGTCTGACCAGTTCCTTCTTATTGCCCAAGTCTGGCCTTGGGTACCTGCTGCCCTTGGGGTCAGATCCCTAAAAGCTACTCTTGTTCACATAGCTGCCGGGACTTCGGCTATCCTCCACTCCAAGTGGCTGTCCAGGGACCTCATTTGTCTTGTTCACAGTGAAGTCATCCAAATATATTCAAACTTGAGCAGCAGGGCCTTCCCTGATGGGCGGCTCCCAGAGCTACTGATCTGGTAAGCAATAGCTAGCTCTTTAAGAGCACCAGGGTGATGGCTGTCCTAGCAGAGTGATGGACCATGTCCAAGCAGCACCTCCGCTTCC